CCCCAAAACCCCAAAACCCCAAAACCCCAAAACCCCAAAACCCCATTATGATAAATATAAATATTTACGAGTCCTACTTATGCAAATGGATAGAAATAGCTTACCTGATCTCCGCAAGGACAGAGACTTACACGAAAACGAAGGAGGTCAAAGTATATTCGAGAATACTGCTATTGACCCCTATATTTCTTCACAATATGATGCTGCTATGAAATTTAATTCTCAAACAAAGAGCAACATGAGAAATAAACATATAGCTAGTAAGAGGTCCACTGATACCATTACTAACGTAAGCCCAAGTCTTAATAAAAATAATTACTTCCCGAAGCAAGACCAATCTGCTCCAAAGGCAATTCTAAATAGCTCGGAGATTCAAAACCAGATTGTCCCAACAGGATACTTTAATACGAGCTCGATGAAGAAAAGTGGGAATAAAAAGGATTTTAATGCAACCTCAAGGCAACCAGATAGTGAAATTTTATCTCCAATAGAATTACCTCAACTCAATAAAACTATAAGAACGGAGACTCTGTATTCTATAAAATCGCAAAAATAATAGCTCTCCGCATGCTAGAATGATGCAGAGTTTAGAGAAGACCAAGAAGAAGAGAAAGCCTCCCGCCGTGATCCCAGATACTGTTGAAAGTGTGAAGAGCCATGAGACATTGCGACAGACCAAGTATCCTGTCACTATTAAAGACGTTACCAGCAGGAACCATAACAATTCTAAGAAATGATACGAAATAACAACCATTGACGAAGATGAGGAGTCAAGTAGCCTGAATTATACTCATAAGGAACCCAAAGCTAGCAACAGCTACGCTGGTGCTCAAGTCAAGCAGACCAGTAGATATAAGCATCTTAACCCAGACCTAGCGCAGGGTCACGAGAATGGAGATTTGATGAAAAGTATCAAACATGGTACAATCAGAAGGAACCTCAGCCAGAACACAAACCATCTTGAAAACCCTCAGAATATTGCGCATAAGCCTCATGGAAGGGTAGATATGAGAATTAAAGAGAACCATAAGACTTTCTCATCTCCCAAGAAGTCAAAGAAGTTCAAAAAGGACAAACTTCCAGGGCTAACTGCTCAAAATGGTATATACAAGCCATACACTCTCTCAGTATTCTTACTCTAACCGTCTAGGATTTCGAAGGGAGATTCAAAAATAAGTACGTAGAGATGGGAGGGCTTGGACACAACAGAGATGTGAAATGGAATGAAGCCAACAGGAAGCTTGAGAAAATGAAGAAATTCTCAACACAAATTGGTAAAATTAATTCTCAGAATATGAAGATCCGAACCTCTCCACCTCCAAGAGAGATCTCTAAGAGAGACAGAGCCATAGAGTTTGCGATGAAAATCAAAAAACCTCGTATTGTAGAGAAGTTATCTTGGGAACGGCCTCTAGCAATAGAATCTGGCTATTATCCATCTGGAAAATTTGAAGATGTAGACGACAAGAAGCTCAGACTAGAAAAAGAGAAAATAAAACTGATATATAATCTTTAAGTTCAACCTGAGTTCTCTTAGCGGGGTTTTGGGGTTTTGGGGTTTTGGGGTTTTGGGGTTTTGGGG